CAATTACGTTTCACCGTGGAGAGAAATAAAGAAATCCATGACGCCAAAACACCGGCGTCAATACAAAAACCATCCTGGTATGAGATAAAAACCATCCAATGTCAGCCTCATTTCTCTATATTTCTCTCAATCCCTCTATCTAAATCAGAACCGACAATTATCAAAGAAGACTTGATTAAGAAGTCCACCAGACACATCTGAACTGAAAGAGCTCATTCAACAACAAAGAGCTCTGTCTAAAAAGCAGCAGTGTCAAAACAGAAAGATGCACTCAGTGCAAGATCAACAATTAAAAAGGAGGAGAGAAGACTCCAGAGAGCTGAAAGTGGACACACCAAAAACTCAACTTCATCAGTGACGACAAACTCTGATTCGCTCAGTTCACTTTCAGAAGAACAAAAAGCTTCTGAACTGTAGAAGAAAAGAGTTGAGCCTGTTTCACTTTACAAAGACCAAAATGTTAGGAGCTAAAAAAACAGCCAGTTTTAGCTCCTGCATGCATCATCTCATCTTGTTTGAAGATTTTCAGTCAGGATTCAAAATGACTGATGACCTAACGGCATCAGACAAAGGACTTGTCTCCGTATAGGTTTTACTAAATCTTAGTGCTTCTTTTGAAACCACTGACCACTGATCTTTATTACAGAGACTGGAACATTCCATTGGCATTAAAGGAGCCGCTCTAAGCTGGTATAGGTCCTATTTATCAGATCGGCTTCAGTTTGTGCATGTTGACGATGGGTCCTCCATGCATGCCAAAGGTAGCTATGGAGTTCCACAAGGATCTATGTTCGGACTAATCCTCTTTATGTTATATATTCTTCCTGCAGGTGTTCATGGAACTGTGGAAGCGGGATCTGTGTTTGGGAGTCGCCTGCTGCCACTGTTCATTGTCTTATTGCTATTATTACTGCTATCATTATCATTACTCTGAATATCTTTACCATTTTTCATCCAGTCTACGTGTTACTCTGTAGGCTGCCTCCTTCCGCTCCTTCTCTCCCACTCTTTCTCTTGCCCTCTCTGTCTCTCACCCCCAACCGGTCGAGGCAGATGACCGCCCACCCTGAGCCATGGTTCTGCCCGAGGTTTCTGCCTCTTAAAGGAAGTTTTTCCTCGCCTGTGTTGCCTAGTGCTTGCTCTTGGTGGGAATTGTTGGGCTTCTGTAAATAACCTCAGAGTAGGGTCTGACCTGCTCTGTTTGGAAAGCGCTGTGAGATAATTGTTGTTCTGATTTGGCGCTATATAAATGAAGTTGAATTGATCTGCATATTTTTTCAAATGATTAATAAAGCATCATTAAATGTAAATACTTTGTTTTCTGTTGCATCTTTTCATATTGGACATCTGCACTGACTTAAAGTGCTTTGTTCTTCCTCACTGAGTTAATCATTGTTTTATTCAAATATTCTGGGTTTCCTTTAAAATGTAAAGGATATTCATTTCTGTGTAAATTGATTAAAAGATTTGAAATAATTCAATACATTACATCAACAAAACAAAACACTATTGTGTGGACATTTTTTCAAAATTAATTAATGTTAATTTCTGTTAAACTCCTACGAGTTTCAAATGTCTTTCTAAAATGATTTTAAAGGAGAAACCATTCTTTTCTACTTTAAATTAAGTTTTACACCTCTACAGTTAGTTTTCACTGGGTCAGGTTTCTGGATACTTTACCAAACATCATGATTATAAGCATTTTTTTTTTTTTTGTGATTCACTGTTTTTTATTTAAGAACAAATTCCCAAGCTGGGAAACAGGAACATTACAGAGTCAGTGATCAATACCCACCCACCCCACCCCAACCTTAGATACAAATCACATGACCCATTAGGTCAAAAATGGGAAAAAAATAAATAATAAAAATACAAAAAAATACACAAAA